TTGTTGATATCATACTCAGCTGTTCAACTCCACCTACCTACTGTTTGCTCTATGGTTTTCAACAATGCCCTGGGGCATACAATTGCTCCAGTCTTATTCAATTAAATTCAGGCAAAGATATTTTTTAAGGCCAGTCTTTAGGTTCCTTATAATTCTAGTAAGGTTCTTCTTAGCTGCCTCTTTCCCTGGTTCAGAGTCTCTGATAAACAAGCTGGCCTATAGTTTAGCTTGTTGCTCTCACAAAACTACCAGGCTCCTCTTAATTTCTTGCTCTCAAAATCTCCATTGTATTCAAGAATGCCTTTAGACTTGAGCTTTCCCATACTCTGTTTTAGCTAAAGTCAATTATTTTGGGGAGAGCTTCAAACCTTCTATTCTTCCAGACTGTCTCTACTTCTAGGCAAAATCTCGGCCAGGGTAGTAGACTGGTCTTGGCTTGCCTCTCTCAATGTTGAACCTCCATTTTATGAGGGAGCTGGGGCAAAAGCAACCAGGTCTCCGTATTCTCAGCCTTCTGCACCTGGGATAAAGCTTCTGTCCCATGAATGGGGGCTAGGTGGAATGAAGTAGACCCTGACCTGTCAGCTGGAGGCTCTCCAGGAACTTGGCCTCAGTAACTTGGAGTTAGAGAAGAGAAATGCTGGACACCTGCCCCTCCTGGCAAGGGACTATATCCCTTCACTGAAAGCTGAGGAGAGAGGAGCTGGGAGGGATGAGAAGAGAGCAGGTCATGCTCAGATACCATAGACACTCACTATTCTTACCAAAATTTAGTAGATTTTCTTGAATAAATGTATTTTTTTTCATTTGCTGCATGCCCTTCAAACAACTTCCAGAGGCTTTAGAAGGTTGGCTTTTAAAATAATTTTCACCAAGTACGGTTGCTTCACTGAGGAATTGTGACTCTTCGCACTGGCATTTCTGGAAATGGAATTCCAACTCCACAACTGTTTCTTTTTAAATGTAACAAAATGTTAAGGGCAAGAGAGCTTTTGTAGACATTTAAACATTTCTTAAATTTTATTTTGCACTTTTAAATTTGTCGATCAATTTTTTTTAGGGTTCAAACATTTTTAGTAGGCCTTGAAGAGTCTGTGAACACTAGGCACAGTGTCTACAGAGCCCAATCGAAAATGAGCCCAAGTATAGCCAGATGGGGGAACATGTCCAGCCATCCCCACTGGGCACATTCCCACCTGAGTAGCAGATACCCTACTCTAATTAGACTCTTCTTTCAGTACTAACAGCTGAGGCATGGACCCTAGACATTTCAGCTGCTAACAACATTGTTTAATAATGAGCCATGGGCTGAATTCCTCAGTTTAGTATTCTTCTGGCTGCATGTTATCAATGCTGACTGTGTCCCAGAAGTAGCAACCTGGGTTACAGATCAGTTTCCTAGAGCCTCTGTCACCAAAAGAGCCACCAATCCGATCTCCAATTATATAAGGAATGTTTCAAAAGATATTCTTTTCTGCTTCACAGGTAATTGGATGTAGCCAAACGTATGAAGTCATTTTAGAACAATGATAAGATCAAAATGTAAAATAATCACTTCTAATATGAGGTAGCAAGGTGGAAAGTGAGCCAGGATGGAAATGCAAAACCTCTATGGGGGGTTACTGACACGGACCATTTTTTAAATTTTATTTATTTATTTATTTATTTATTTAGAGACGGAATCTTGCTCTGTCACCTAGGCTGGAGTGCAATGGCACGATCTCGGCTCACTGCAACCTCCGTCTCCCGGGTTCAAGCGATTCTCCTGCTTCAGCCTCCCAAGAAGCTGGGATTACAGGCATGCATCACCATGCCTGGCTAATTTTCCATTTTTATTAGAGACAGGGTTTCTCCATGTTGGTCAGCCTGAACTCCCGACCTCAGGTGATCTGCCTGCCTCAGCCTTCCAAAGTGCTGGGATTACAGGTGTGAGCCACCATGCCCGGTGACATGGCCCATCTTGATGACTATGGGTTTCCAGTGATTCGAAGCCCCCGTGTGAGCCATATGTGCCCTGTCTATCAAAATCCTAGAGCAATTTCAGATGCATTCATAGATAGTCCACGTTACTTTGACAGCACCTCCACATATAAACAGCAGTACAGCAAAAGTTGCAGATATTTCAACAGCTGAAAGGGACAGGATGGGGAAAATCAACCAACACTTTTCTGACACTGGAATTCTGTAAACCAATGTGACTCTACGGTCCAGAATCAAGGGGAAAGGATGGTCCTACATTTGTCCTGCATGGATAAAAACACATCTAGACATGTGTTCACATGTGAACTACATATTTTATAAGAGTTCCTGACAAATGGACAAAATCCAAAGAAGGAGGACCCTAGAGTGAAGCACACCACATGAGGAACACACAAAGGGCTTCACATTTCCTTTCAAATGGGGGTTTGGAAACAAAATAGTTATCTTCAAATATTTTATAGCTGTCCTTAAAAGTGTAAAAACTGCCTGGTACTCCAGCTCCATTCCAAAACACAATCATTCATTCATCTATTCAGCAAACATTTATTCTGCATCTCCTCAGAGTGAGGCCCTGTGTTAAGTGGCTATCTAGGGGTATATAAGACTCTTCGTAAGTAATCAAGAGTCTAGAAGCAGAGAGGGTTAAACAAGCATGCGAATAACCCAGTAACCATAATACAGGGGAGAGTATGATAGGCATCATGTAAGCAGAACAAAGCTTACTTTGGAATTCAGAGTCAGGAGTTATCATGTCCCACTAGCAAGATCAGAAACGACACCATGAAAGAGATGGCATTGCACTGGGTTTCAAAGATGTGTACTATTTCTGTGAGGAGAAATATACTAAAGACTTATTCCAGGTTGGGGGTAAAAGTGCAAATACTTAGAGGTGAGAAAAGGGCTGGAAAACATAATGGGACAGAGCCAAAGAACTGATGAGTTCAAGTTGACCAACCACAGGTGTAGAAATCTCAAGTATTAGGGGACAAAGCTAGAACTTTATAGGCCCAAAAGTGAAGAGCTTGTATCTTAGGCTGCAGAGAATGACTAGGTGCAGGTATTATTAAAAGCTTTGTAATATAGAGTGTCGTGTTTGTTTGACTCCTAGCATAGATCAGAGGCAGACACAGAGAGACAGGAGGTTTGCACAATGGCTAGGTAGAAGGAAATTAAGTCCTGAGGTAGGATTGAGGCAGGTAGCAGTGGGGATGGACATGAGGGAAAAAAGCTGTGAGGTATTTCAGAAACTGAATCAACAGCAGCCAAGACACTTCTGGAAATATGGGAGTGGGTGAGGAGGGATAACTCAATTATCAAGTCTAAGGGACGTAGAAAGAGCAGAAACCCCTGCTGGAGGAGAAACTGACTCAGGGTCAGAGCAGGCTGAGTGAATATGGAAGACAGTGTGGCTACCCTCGAAAGTGGCTAGGATAGGACCAGGAGAATGTTCTAACCCAAAGCCTTGCTCTAAGCACCTCTCAAACCTTCCCCAACTCATGATCACCTCCTCAGAAGCTACTTGATAAGGAAATACCTGAAAAGAACAGGCAAGGATAGAGCCAATCCATCCTTGAGAAGCGCCACTGGCTACCCAAGGCGACCCTCTGTGAAGGCAGAGGCTGTTGCAGGGTTAGAGAAACGCCCCCCTCCACCTTGAGGTCCCCCAACAGGCGATATAAAGAGCAACCTTCCGGCCCTGAGTCTGCCACTCACTCCCCCTGAAACCTTAAAAGATGATCTTCTCTCACTTTGGGAGGCTGAGGTGGGCGGATCACTCGCAGTCAGGAGTTTGAGACCAAACCTGACCAACATGGAGAAACCCCATCTCTACTAAAAATACAAAAAAATTAGCTGGGCATGGTAGCACATGCCTGTAATCCCAGCTACTCAGGAGGCTGAGCTGGAGAATCACTTGAACCCAGGAGGCAGAGGTTGGGATGAGCCGATATCATGCCATTGCACTCCAGCCTGGGCAACAAGAGTGAAACTCCATCTCAAAAAAAAAAAAAAAAAAAAAAAAAAAAAGATGATCCTCTCTGGGTCAATTCCTTCATTTGTAAGATAGGGGTAGTAATGAGTACCCCACCCATTTCACAGGTTTTATCAGATTAAGTATGAGGAGACAGAATCTTGCAAAGCACACAAAAGCCAAGGGTCATTAGAAGTTGAGAGCAGAAACTACAACAAATTTCTATGTGTATCTTGTATGGAGCTGTCTATGGAAGGAGGGAGGGAGCAAGGTAGGCAAGAAAATACCATAGCCTGGGGGCCACAGGCAGCTAAGTGTTAGTCAAGGAATACTGCCTGCCAGATTTCAAGAACAGCCTGCTCCAGAGAAATAGGAGGGACAGTTAAAATCAACCAGGTCAACCCTCTTGTTTAACAGATGGGAGGCTTCGCCCTGAGACAGGCCCAGTAACCTACCAAAGATCTCTAGTGGCGTGACAGAGGGACCAGGGATATGTCCAATAACTGGAATGTCTGTATAATCACAGTGTACACAGTATTTCTACCCACATTATCTTACTTATCTTCACAAATAGCCCCTTTGAGCTGAGTGGGAGAGTATTATTAAAATTCCTGTTTTTCAACCTGAGGTTAAATGACTTGTCCAGGGAAGGATTCAAATCCAGACAGTCATACCCCCAGTCCACTGCTCTTTCTCTGTACCACAACTTCATGCCTGCACTGGGTTTTAGCACAATCATTTCAGCTTTCATCATATTTCAGATTCCAAATTCTGTTTCATTACAAGTTCTTTTTCCTCTTATTTCACACTGCCTTCAGCAATATTTCACTTCAACCTTACCTGGTAGGATCCTACTGATCTCTTGTCTTAAAAGTTCAGTGCCCACATTTGCCACCAGAAACTCTTTTCTAAACCTGAATTATGAAAACTGGGCCTTCCCATATAAATCATCTTTACAAAGTCTGTCCTCACAAGTGTATCATTTGAGATGTGCGTGATTATTACAGCAAACACATTGGACTAATTGAGGCAATACTTAACATGCAAGTACCAAGAAAGCAGCTTTCACAAATGTGTAGAAAACGAAGGCAAATAGTTCCTGGCTTTATCAATAAAAGCTGATTTGCATTCATGGGAGGACCTCCAAGTGCAGTCAGCAACAGAAAATGATCCCGATAATTCCAGTAGCCCACATCCAAAGGTTCTGAACCTGAATGTGTGTCTTTATTGAGGGAGGTCCAGGGAAGACCTAGGGGAAGAAAGTGCTGAGATAAAACTGGGAACTGTCTCAATGTCCTCTTTCCCTTAGTCTGTGGGGCCTGACGTTCCATCACGAACCTTATTTCAGGAGTAAGCAATGAATGTTTTGCTCCTCTTTTCAACTCAGGGAAGAGGATTAATATTGCTCAGTCTCCTTGGCTTGCAGAGGTTTCTCGTGGGGATCATCAGGGGTGTGCTGACGCCTCCAGGCAGCACAGTAACAGGCCTAGGGGCCGGGCTGCGCAGGGGCGCTTCCATCTAACCTGCCTCTCCCTGCACTTTCTTATAAACAAGGCTTCAGTGGCGTGGCAGTCATTTCTGCTGAAAAATACTGGCATTCGTTCCTCTTATGCCCTCTCCTTCCTCACTATCCCCAGAACCAGAACATAACTTCCCACCCACCCCACTCCCGTCAGAAGCAGCTAACGGATGGTAACAGCTCAGCAGCCCTCGGTTTGGAGCTCAACGGACATGGCAACCACCTGGTGAAGGCACCAGCCTCAGCCCCCCGACCCCCACCAGCGGCGCGCCCCAGGGATGCCCCCGGCTGGGCACCGCAGGCAGGACCCAGAGCAGCGAGGCCCAGACACCCGGCAAGCCCCCAGGGAGCGCACTGCCCCGGGTGAGGCCGGGAGTCAGACTAAGCCCAGAGACCATCTCCACCCGCCATTAATAAAACGCAGGAAAAATTAAAGCCTTGTTTACCGACATGAGTGATCACTGTGGCCAGTCGCCGGGTGAGCTCCTGGGGGGGCATCTCTTCTTTTAAGCAAGACAGCATTTCACTGAAAAACCACTCTGTATAAATAAGGCCAAACAAAACTGTTTCTACCGCGGCTGTGGATGATTTTTTAAAGGCATCTCCTCCCGAGGATGCTCTGCCCTCGCCCTCTTCCTGGCTCTCCAGTCAAGGATCGAGAGTCCCTCGCAGCCGCTGCCAGCTCTCCCTCGCCACGCCTCGCGGGGGCTCCTGTGACAGACCAAGTCTGGCGCTTTCCCAGCGTCGCAGCTGCACCGAGAGGGGAGCGGCCGCTCTGCAAAAGGAAGCAAGTTGCCAGTCTCCCCGGAACCGCGTCCCGGCTCCTCCGGCTGGGCGAGGGCAAGGGCTTCCAGAATCGCGGTCCCGGCCGCCGGGTTTCCAGCGCCGCCTCCAGGGACTGTGAGGTGAGGGATGCTTCGCCGGGTGCAGGGGAGGCGGCAGGTGGCTGCGGCTCCTCTGCGCCGCCCGCCCCACGCCCCACTCCCCGGAGCCCACCTCTTCCCGCCCGCAGGTGGCGCCCGGGGCTCTCGGGGAGGCGCGCACGCGCCCAAGCGCCGCTTGTTTGGGGGTCGGGAACGCTGCGCCCCTTTCCCTGTGGGAGCCCGCGCTCCAGCCCCTGGTGTGGGGGCGACTCACGGTCCCTACTCGGAACCGTGGGGCAGGGAGACAGCGACTGAGGCGCTCCAGCCGCACCGGGGTCGGGATCACCAGACGCGCGCCGGCTTGGTCTCCGCCCCTCCTTCTTCCCGGCGCGGTGTCTGCGGAGGAGCAGCGGAGAGAAGGGGGCTGACCCGAAGAGATGCCGCCATCCGGCAGGACCCGGAGCGGGAGGCTGGGTGAGGCGCCGCTGCTTGCCCCACCTTCTGACCCGGGGGGCGGCTGGCGTGTGTTTTCCCCCCTTGAGGTTGTTCCACGCAGTTCTTGGCCTCCGCTGGCCACACCTGCACTGGAAGCCCAGCGCCTGGGCTGCGCTCCAACATGACTGGGCACGCATGGGCGCGCTCACCCCCTGTGTGGGCTTTTTCCTTGGTGCAGCTGCGCCCTTGCCACTGCTCCGTCTGTCACCAGTCAGGCGCGCCAGTGCTACGTTCTGGAGAGGCTGTGGCACATCTTCCATGCCGGTCCTCCTCCCCATCAGCCCATTATCCCGTGGTTTCCCTAGTTGGGCCCAGACACTTTCTGACTGGCAGCAAAAGACTAACCCCAGTTCAGCAGAGCGCCATGGGAAACACCTGAGCAAATGCGAATTCGGTCAGGTTGTCCCCCAATCCTTTCTACAGCGGGAGTCCCTGAATACTCAGCCGGTGGCGTGGCGGGACCACCCATGCGGATGTTCTCAGCCATCTCTTTCCTCTTCGATATGTAAAAAGCCAAGCCGCAAACACCCTGGATCCAAATTCTAGGAGTAGTCCCCAATCCCAGGGAGGCGGAGGGTATTTTTAATGCTTTCTCTAGCAATTGTGGGCTGTAGTTGAGAAGCGACGTTAGTTCACCTGTGTCATGAGATTTGGAGAGAGGAGGTTCTTCCCGCTGTGAAGTTTGGCACCTTGCACGCTGCCTGCAAAACAGAGCAAGGATTTTCTTTTTCTTTTTCTTTTTCTTTTTTCTTTTTTTTTTCATTTTTAGAGATGGAGTTTCACCATGTTGCCCAGGCTGGTCTCAAACTCCTGGGCTCTAGTGATCATGCCCGGCCACAGAGCAACCATTTTCACAACCACCTTTTGCAAGAGATTTAAAAAAGTGTTAAAAGTCCGGGCATAGTGGCCCACGCCTGTAATCCCAGCACTTTGGGAGGCCGAGGCGAGCAGATCACAAGGTCAGGCGTTCAAGACCAGCCTGGCCGACATAGCGAAACCTCGTCTCTACTGAAAATACAAAAATTAGCCGGGTATGGTGTCACGCGCCTGTAATCCCAGCTACTGGGGAGGCTGCGGCAGGAAAATTGCTTGTACCTGGAAGGTGGAGGTTGCAGTGAGCCAAGACCGTGCCATTGCACTCCAGCCTGGGCAACAGAATGAGACTCCATCTAAAAAAAAAAAAAAAGTTAAAGATCCACAGGAGGGGAGGCAGCTTTTGAATTATGTTTCCACGGTGGTTTCTGGCTATTCAGGGGTCACAAGTGTTTTCAAGGAACCAAATGAGATGTTTCCTACTGATAGTAGTCAGAACCCTGGTGCCCAGTCAGAGCCAATTGTGAGTTTTGGTCAGCGGAAACCAATGCTTTGTAAAGAACACAATGATGTAGGGTATGTTGGACTGGGAGCGTCAGAGCCACTTTGAAGATCCAGTAACCTCAACTTCCCAGCTTAGGCCGGGTCCTTATGGGTGAGAATCATGAAAAGGAAGAAGAGAAGGAATGGAGGAGAGGAAAAGGAGGGAGGAGAAGCTTATGATTAAGAATGAGAAGAAAAAGAAAAGAGATAGAAAGGAAATAAATCACACTCAGAGTGCTGCCCACATCTTTGGTACTTTCACAGTCCTCAAAGGTTTCCATGGAGATAAATGAGCTCCAGTTATGGTGAGATGTAGCAGGCAGCGCCTATTCTCAGAAACTAATTCTGCTCTTGTCTCTGACACTTGCTCTTCTTCTCCTTCTTCCTTCTTCCTCTTCTTTTCTTTGAGATCGGCAATCGCACACTCGTCACCCCAGTGGGCTGATAGGTCGCAGTCGGCACTTCATAGCTTCGCAATCTCCGCCTCCCAGGTTCAAAGCGATTCTCCTGCCTCAGCCTTCCAAGTAGCTGGGATTACAGGTGGCCACCCAAATGCACCCGGTTGATTTTTGTTATTTTTAGTAGAGGAGTGTGCGTTTTCACCCACATGTTGG